CTGTCTGTCTGTCTGTCTGTCTGTCTGTCTGTCTGTCTGTCTGTCTGCCTGCCTGCCTGTCTGTCTGTCTGTCTGTCTGTCTGTCTGTCTGTCTGTCTCTCTCTCTCTCTCTGTCTCTCCCTCCTGCCCTAGCCTCCCAAGACCACCTTTAAAAATAGTTGACGTGGTTGTGTAGTACTTGATCCTTCAGTTCCTCTTAGTTGGATGTCAGGTGGGAAAATCTGATTTCAGGATCTAGGTGGCGACCGGGTTTTCGACCAACCACGGATTCGGCCGCCCCATGGCTGTGCAGCGTTCGTCCCGTGCCTCTGAGAGTCGTCCAGGAGTTCGAGATCGTAGCTCTTCACGGCCACCATCCTGAGATCAGCTGAGATCCCCCGAAGCCATCTGAAGAACAAATCCCGGCAACTCCCCAAGGCGGACCTTGGAAACAGGATGAAGAAGGCTGCCTTCATGTGGCTGGTTTCCAAGCCCAAAATGGTGCACTCATCACAACTCCATAGGGGGCCCGCTTCTAAACCTCCTTGAAACTCCAACTGCACTCAAACCCCAGGGATGTTAAACATGAAGGCATGTCAACTGCAAAAGCTGTGAGGTGTGTGTAGCGCGGTCCTTTTCAGGGGCCTGTTGAGCTGCTGGAACTGTTGCTGCTGCTACTGGGCTTCTGCAGTTGCTTCCAACTTTTGTGTTCTCAGTCGTCTTCAGAACGACATAGGAAGGACGTAAGAGCTGACTCAAAAGATTTGGATGTTGGATGGGCAGGTGGTCAAGAAAAAGACCATCATCAAAAAATATCCGCCGATGTGTTTGTCTTCTGTCTGCGTCCTTTTTCCTGCTTGTTTGTGTTCTTCTTGTTGTGCATTCTCATGTGTTTTCTTCTTCCTTCCTCCTCTGCTTCTTCTTCTTCTCCTTCTTCTTCTTCTCCTTCTTCTTCTCCTTCTTATTCTCCTTCTTCTTCTCCTTCTTCTTCTCCTTCTTCTCCTTCTTCTTATCCTTCTTATTCTTCTTTGTTTTTCCTTTTTCTTGTCTTGCTTCGTCTTCTTTTTGCCTGCTCTCTGCTTGTTTCTTCTCCTTCCTGCTTGCTTATCTTGTTGTGAAGAAACCTAGCGCCAACCTTGCGCTGCCTTGCTGCATTACCATAGTCTGCTGGGGGGCCCGCTTCTAAACGAAGACTTAAAAACACATCTCCAACTCCAACCTTTAAAGTGTACATTTACTTTTTTTGAGTAGGGCTTTTTGAGCGCAGTCCATGTAAAAAAAAGGGGAGGCCTGAAGAGGGGGAGGAAAATTGATGAGAAAGACACCAAAGTTGACCGAAAACATGCACCGCGAAAATGGATCAAGCTGGATTGGAAACTTCCAGTGAGAATCAATTCATGGTTGACATGTCAAATCCTTCGTGAAACAGCTGAAAACTCCCCAAGCGGTCCAAAACCAGTCGCTGTCGCCACCACTCAACCACACCAAACCTCCCAAAAACGGGTTTTTTCCCGACTCCCAAAACCCTTCCCACACCAAGGCTCCCAGCTCGTCGCCCCTGGTCGCCCGGACGGCCCTTTTCGCCTGCGCCTGCGCCGCTCGTCCGGTGGCTCGTCACGGCACGATCCACCGCAGCCAAGACCGCCCCGCTGCAGCCAGTGCCCAGGACCTTCCCAGTGAGCCGGAAGTCGTCCTGGAGGAAGTCGGGCTGACGGTCCGGTGGACGACGTAAGACCGGCGAAGCGGCGAAGGGCGTCTCTGGGAAGATGGTGAATGAAGTGGTGAAAAGTGCAGAGCATTGTCATGCTTCGCCAACATATGGTAAGAATCCTTGGACCTGACGCTGAAACTATCGACACCAAAACGCAGGGGGGACCCGAGCCAAAGCCCACCTCCATTGGAGACGGGCCCTAGATTCTGAGGGTAGGAGAAATGATCTGTCGAACTGTTCATTACAGCAAAGCGACATGCTTTTCATGACTCTTTTGGGATCCCATGTTCTTCCATGCTTTGTGATGGAAAACAAGCACCACCAGTTCGTTTCGTGATGGATTCGTTTGAACCAATCCACCGCTCCACCGGGAGCGTCATGACTCATCTCTGGATCTCTCTCAACCCAAGAAGGCCGGCGCAGGACACAGCCGCGAAGGCCCAGCTTCCCCGGAACAGGTCCCGGTCCAAAACCCGGTGGGTACAACCCTAACCCATCACCCGTCCACTTTTTAAAGATGGCCAAAAAAAAAACGTGCAAAAACAGACCTCGGCGCGCGGAAATCCTAGGTGCCCCGTAAACACCACCACCCCACGGTGCCCCCCCGTAAATCGCTCTCCGTTCCTGCAAGTTCCGACCCTTGACATAGCGGCCCTTCACGGGCAAAGATCCCACACGCTCCATGGCGCGCAGCTGCACCTCACCAAAGCCGCTCGCTCCAAGCGCCGCCTCCACCGGCTTCGCGACCTCCACCGGGTTCGCGCCATCCGCCGTGCCCATGGTCCGGACGGGGCGCTCGCGAGGGAGCCGGGCGGTGGGGACGCGAGGACGCTGCGAGGACGCTGCGGAAACAACGGGAGAGGGTTGGAAGAGGGGGCTAAGCATGTCAAGAGCACGAACTGGGTGTGTTTTTTGTTCCAGGCTTACGTTTGTTTCTTGACCCCACTTGTGGGTGCCTGCAGATTGCAAAGGAAACCTTCTCGCGCAGTATACGCTCATCATCTGTCATCTTTAGCTGCACGTCTTCTTCGGGAGACGAGCCAAAAGATCGAAACTAAGATCCATCGCAGGCGAAGCTGCTTTTTGAGGCCCCTCAAAGAAGACCCCCGAGGCGGGTCTGCTGTTTTGCTCTTCGAATCCACTTCTCGAGCCAAAACCACGAAGGTCCAGGTGTCCACTTCCGCCGACCCGGCATCCGGCCCTCCGGCCGTCCTCGAAAAAACGGGCCTGAGCTCCCTGAGTTCATCTCAATTCGCCGTCGAAAACCCACTGGCCACTGGTCGTCCCCTCCAAAAACGGCTGGAAAAGCCCGATGGTCCAAAGTCCATGTAGTCTGTGCTTTTGCAAGTAGAGCTCCATTACTTCGTCAGGTGTGTCGAAACACACGAAGAAGCACACCATGCAGCGAACTGTTAATGGGTCATCTCCACACTACACCATTCAACATGAGAATCTCTGTGTCCGCTGGTTCAAATGCCAAAAAATAAACTCATGTGATTGCAGATGTTGTCCATCAATTGTGCCACAAATTGGTCTGCAATGGGCTGTCCCTGGTCAATCCTCAAACGCCAAAACTTTCCAACCGGTTTCAATAGAGAGTTCCAACGAAGACGCACTGGGTTTTCTCCAATTAAGCAGCTCAGACATGGTGAGCTGGATGATTCCCATTCTACTCAGCTTTCAAAGTTTGATCGTTCGATGTTCTCTCTCTATGCTTTCATCTCTTCCCATATCGATCTCTGCTCATGGGGGGGCCTTGGCAAGCCTCCGGCGAGGCGTCCTGCGTGAAGGCATTCGCAAGAGAAGACAGCGGAGGAAGAACCGAATTTCCGGTCACATCATGGAAGTGAATGAAGGGAAGCACATCCAAAGCTATTTGAGATAGGAAGGCCACACCTCCCTGCTACACCCCCTGTCAAGCTGTTTGAAGGGAAGGCAACCAACTCCGAGGCTCCGCGGGGCGGGGCAGAACTGGGCCAGGCCACCTCACTCCACGTCTTCCCTCGTTGGAATCAACTCCTTTCCAAAGACGTGCCCGTGCCCGATGGGGGGCGAAAACACCAATTGACTCATAACTAGAATTGACATCTGGAAAGAGTCAACTGACTTTCTATACAAATTTAGAAAGTTCCAAACTCCCCCTAGTCAATTCTAGGTGTGGAAAAGGTGACCTGGCATTTGGACAGTTTGTGATGCGATCTTTTGGATTGAGTTCTATCTGTGTCCTCCTATTGGCTATCTAAGAAGCTACTAGTAGCTCCTGGCATTACTACTATAGGAACAAGAAGCTAACTAGTAACAAGGGCACTACTACGAACGGAGAAAGAAGCCAACTAGTCGTAGCAAGGTGCATTGCTACGAACGGAGCAACAAAACAAACCAGTCAGTAGCCTCTGTGGCCTCCCTTCGGCCACCAGCACCCGGCCTTGGGGGAGTTTCCGCCCGCAGCCAGAAAGGCGCGCGCCTCAGACAGCGGCCAAGCAAGGAACCGGTGCGAGTAAACCAAACCGACGGGAAGGTCGATCCATTGGATGAATGTGGCTGATACTCCTGGATGGTCTCTTATGGTGATTCTGTTCTCCCTGATAGATGATGTTCTGCACCTTTTTGGGGGAGTTTCAGTGTGTCAATGTGATCTAGACTCTTGACTTGATTGGAGTTCAACTCCCCCAGATGAAGAGGTTGTTCAATCCAACTGAGGTTCGTTTTGCAATCCAGATTCTACATTAGTTCCCTGTGACAAGTGCAACAGCCACGTCCAGGATCGGTTCCGCGTTTGCTCACTCCGGTGCGCAACCACTGCTTCGGTCGGGGCCGCTGGTCGCTCTCTGCGTCAGGAGCCGGTCGAGTGGAAAATCCCACTCAAAGCTCATGGAATTCACCTGAATTGGATTGAATCTAGCGCTTAAGAAACATCAAAAGGTGCAATGACCACGGAAAACATCTGAAACTGGAGAATCCTCCGGTCACCCATCTCGAACCCTTTCTCGCGGTCATTCACAGGACCCGGACACTGAAACTCACACGTCTCCCGCACAGGAGGGCGGGGTGCGAACATCCTCCAGCACAAAATGACCCCAAATGGTTCGAGATGGATTCATCTCCAAACATCTCTTGGACCTCCTTGGTGGAACTCTTTCCGTCGATTGGTGGACCACCCAAGCCCTTCCGGGGATCACGACCCAAGCCCAAGGAACCGCATCTCCCATGATCCTTCATCTTCGGCCACGGGGCGTGGAGTTGGGCAATGAGATCATCCAGCTGTGCGTGGTGTTCCTTCCAACTGGGTCCTGGCGGCGCCCGCTCAGGCAGCTACAGATGGAACCCCTGTCCTTTGAGGTTTCGCTGAAGTGAGACCTGATTCCACAAGCAGTGTAGTCTGTTGATCCCTCGGAAGGTGCTGGTATATGTTTCAGGATCTGAACCTGTGTCGCTAAGGTGCAAAGGTCCTTCCCTTTGATGTCCTTACTTGAGCTACCAGAGCTACCCAGAGCTTTTAACGATTTTGTTTAATAAAACAATCAAACAATTGTGTTAAAGGAAAATGTCCAAGAAAGTATATAAATCAGAAGCTCCGTTACGGGGGGTTGCCAAACTGAGCTGAAGTCCAAGAAAGACCCCAAAGACCCCAACCTCCAAAAACTGGACACAAAGTGATTCACCTAAACGAGGTGGATCTGCTCCAAACGCGCCGAATCCGAGAACCCTCGCGGCGTTTTTGGCGTCCGACCGCTTCCTGCAGCCTCCTCCATGGTGGGTCATGGCAGTGTTTGCCACAGCGTCATGGCCGGTTCGCCACACTCTGTGCCCCCACATCTAGGCTGTAAACCTTCTGAGCGAGCAGTGGAACCACGGAATTCCTCGCTTCTGTCGAACTTACGCGTGAACGCGAAAACCACCAACCAGTTCACACGGGGGGGGGAAGAAAGTTCCCCCTTCGCCCCAACCGGTTCCAAGTCCTTCTCGTGCAGAATCCCCGCAGCGAAGCCGTCTCACACACGTCACGTCACCCGAAAGCGGAAACCTTTCCAAGCGACTGGGCGGAGACCTTCGGAGCGGTCCCGGTCCCGGCGCAGAGGCCGTGCTTGGACCCGTTTGGGCCACTGCGTTCCACCTCAAAGGGTCGGGTCGGTAGGTCGGACAGGAGCCCAAGCGGCTCCTCAACGGGGTGAAGTCGTGCTTCGAAACCAGCAGCCCCCTACAGCAGCTTCCTTGGGCGACACCGGCAGACCGTGCGTCTCGTGTCAGGTTTCAAAGGCGGAAGGACGGTGTGATGCCCCGTGTGCAGTGCGCGTTGCAAGGACGGTTCCCCCCCTTCAATGGTCTACCAGTACCCGAAACCTGCCAGCTCACCACCCACTTTTGAGTCTCTAAAAGTCACCAAAGGAGACCTGTTGGAGGGTGTGGTACAGTTGTTGTGTCTCTTTTGGGTGATTTCCACCCTCGCGAGACACGAAGGTGTCTGCAAAAGAAGAACCCGAGCACCCGAGCACCCTTTCACCCTTCCCACTTGACCTCTCCACCCAACCCTTTCCTAGCGCATGTCCTTACGACCCGCCGGATAGCACTGGGTTCCCTATCTCACCCTTTTGGCTCCGAGACAGCCGCGCAGCCGCGCAGCCTCGACGACTCTCGTCTTCCAGGAGACGAGGCTCGTCTCGAACCGCAGCGGCATGTGAACGAATTCCCAGGACCGGCGTCCACCGGTCTACCCGCTCGTCAATTTCCGCTTTTGGGATCGGATAGTGTTCAGACACCCCAAGTGCCACGGGTGCAGATCACTGAAGCAAGAGCATCAGTTCTTTCTTGATAAATCAGGTGTGAATTTCAGCAAGCTCATACCAGCTTCAGGACCTGACCGCTCCGCGTGCACGTCAGGTCGTGCCTGACACGGGACACCCAGCTTCGGCTGGCTGTTGTAGAGAAAGATCGGCGCCAAAGGACCACTCGGTGGGATGAAGCCTCAAAAGGAAACGACAAACGACTTGGAGCCTCCAGGGTGGTTCCTCAAACACCTTCAGAGCAAGGTCTTAGAACGTTGATCATACTGGAAAATCACCAAGGACCACCCTGAAGAAGTGTGGGGTCTCGCATGTTCTATTGCATGCGCTGAAGGACGCAAAAACACGCTGTGGCCCAAACACTCAAGGGCAAGTGGTCATAGCAATGAAAGAAAAAAGACCGTAATGTATTTATATATATAATATAGAAGAGAGAGAGAGAGACAGAAGCGGAGTCCGAGGCAAGTTTCCACAACAGGACTGTTTCTTCTATGTGTTTGATTTTTGGTGGGGTCACTACTAGGCTTCTGGCAAGGGCTGAACAGCTCCAAAAAGTGCTACAAGCTTGGGGGGATGGGGTCACTATGTTCATCATCTACACCAGTTATCATGCTTCACGTATGAAAGGCGTCCTTCCTGCAGCCCCACGTTTGGGCCCGGACGGGCCCCAGGTGCTTTGTTTGACAAGTTTCACCCAAGAACGACCCGCTGGCCACGAGAGAAAGCGAATTATCGCGAGGCGCAGCGGCTGCGGACATCCACATGCCGAAATCGGCCTTTTGGTGAGAAGACAGCTTTGAAAAACGCATCAGAGGAAAGAACAACAAACCAACAAAACCTCTCTGGGCCGAAGAATGCTCGTTCCGTGACAGTTCTGCAGATATCGCAACTCTTTGATTAGGGAGCATAGGAGGAGTCGCGCAGGCGCAGCAGAAGGACAGGCCCCATCTTTAAGGGGGTCAATGCTGTTGCAAAGCCCTTGATAATATCTGGATCAAAAGTCACGCGTGACAAAAGGCTTGACAAAGGTCCTAGAAGTCCAGTTCGACTTCTGCCTCCATTTTTCAGTAGAAGTGCGTCGACCGGGAAATCCACCTGTCAGACCCTCC